TCGCCTCCATCCCTCCGCCGCGGGTCGGGGCCTGGGACTCGGGTGGGGACGCTGAGGCGCTGCACGCTATTCACCCCTTCCTGGCTTGGGGGGGCTTATATTCCAGAGACAGACGGCAAGCGGTCCCGCACCAGTTACACGCGCTACCAGACTTTGGAACTGGAAAAAGAATTCCACTTTAACCGCTACCTCACTCGCCGCAGGCGCATAGAGATCGCCAACAACTTGTGTCTCAACGAGAGACAGATCAAGATCTGGTTCCAGAACCGCAGGATGAAGTGGAAGAAAGATTCCAAAATGAAAAGCAAAGAGGCTCTTTAGGAGGCGGCGAAGAGGCCCGCCCGGAGCGCCCTGGCTGCTCCCACTCCCCTCGCCTTTCCTTTCCGGTTCTCCTCTCTGTATTTTAGGGCAAGGGCGGTGGCCGGGGACCCGCTCCGGGCCTCAGAGACAAAAGCGTTTTCCCCGGCACCCGCATCTCCACCGACCCCAGGTTCCCGTGGGCTGACCACGCTGTGCTGGCTCCCCTTAGTTCTGCTGGGCTCCGGGCTGCCCCAGGGCTAGCTCCGCAGGGTTCCCAGGGCTATGGCTTCCTGGCGCTGCCCAGGCTGGCGCCGACCCCACCGGACAGGCCTGGGCCGCCTCTCAGCCTTCCAGCCCCAGCTGGACCCACCCCCGTTAAGGTGGGCCGTGTGGTTGCTGCAGGCCGGGCGCCCCGACCCTCCAACCTCGCTCTCTCCTTTGTTCCCGGTTTCGGCTGGCCAGGCCGCTTCGATCTGGCGAGAGAGTGGTTGTGCCTGGGGGAGTCTGGCGCCAGATTCGGGGTGCTTCGTTGTAGTGACTACACTCAAGTTTTTCATTTTTTAATGATTTGCATAATAAAGGAGGGAGCCGATTGAAGTCTGCCTCTGGCCCCTTGGGTTGTCCTATGCTCTCTAAACCTTCCTCCGACCCCCAAACCCGGGAACCTCTCCAGCCTGCGCCCTCTGCATGCCTTCAGGCCCCCAGCCTCAGACCACTAGCGAGCTCAACTATTGAGGCTCCCTGCCACAGGACCCCAGCAGCGGTCCTAGGGGCTCCTGGCTGCTAGTATCCTTGCCGCCACTTTCTGTGCCCGCCTGCCCCATCGCTGTTGTACAACTATTTATTGACGCCGGGTCTTTCCTGAAACTATATTTTGTCATAGCAAATAAAGACAAAGAGAGAACAGGACTAAAAATGCAGTGGCTCCTCTCTGTTTGGGGCACGTATTGGGCAAAAATGTCTAAATGGGCTGTGAGGTGGAGGGGGAGGCCCACAGCCTTTAAACCTCCTCTTTAAAGGAATTTTTAGGGGCTTCTTCAGGTATTGAGACAAGGCAGGTGAAAGTGGGCTCCTGTCCTGACCCCTGACCCCAAGCAGGGCCTCTGGGGGAAGGGGAGGACCCAGGTGTCTGTCCTGTGCTGTGGCCATTCAAGGCATTCGGGCCTCTGCACCCCATTCTCTTTTTGGCTGGGTGGATCTGGGGCCTCTAGACTGACAGCGGCCCTCACTGCAGGCAAGAACGAATCTGCAGGGACTCCGTGGCTCTGCAGTAGGGTTAAGGGGTTCCCGAGGGGCCTAGGTGGACATAAAGGGCTGAGCCCTCAGCCTAGGGCCCTATTTGGTCTCAGAAGGATCCTCAGAAAGAGTTGGTGCTGCTGAGTAAAGGGGTTCTGGGAAGTTGGAGGAGGTGTGTCTCAGCTTCCTCAGATACTGGCGGAGGATGAGTAGGGAGGGCAATCTGCAGGGTATACCTGCCTGGCAGGAATCTTCAGACCGTTTCCCCACCTTCTAGGGCCTAGGGCTATGCGGGACAATGAGCTGGAAAGAGGCTGCATAGACCAGTGCCTGAGTTTCATCTGTATGCCATCATTTATCTCTGGTCGCTGGGATTTTGTGTAGGGGGAGGGTGGGCAAAAGGGAAGGAGAAGCGGCAGATAATTCAGGTGGTGCCTGAGACTGGCTTAGGCCCATGCTCTGCTCTGATTCAGGCTCTTGGGATGGGAAGGGGGAGGAAATACTTTATAGGAGAAACAAATGTGGGAAGGGTCCATAAAACTTTACTGCATTTCCTCTCCCGCCTCCCACAATGGGGTGATTTCCTGGAGCCAAGCCTAGGCCCCCCATACTGGGGGGGGGGGGGGGGGAGGGGAGGGGGGGTAGGTTCAGGAGCTGGGCTAGAAGGTTTTTCCAGCAGCCAAGAGGGAAAGGGAGCAGGGAGGCTCTGGGGAGGGGTAAGGGGAATATTTATGATTATTAATGCTGATGCTCCTTGGATTTATTATAAGGACTGACTTCTCTGCATCCTATTGCCTAAGCCACCTGTCATTTTTTAAAAGACCCAAGAGCCTTTCCTCACTCCACGCTAGCCAGTAGGAGGTCTCACCAAATGTTTATTGAACTGCACCCATTGCAGCACCCTTCTTCACACTGCACTCACTCAGACCAGATTAGGCCTCCCCGAAGTGGCTCTCCTCCACCAGCACACGGCAGACAGCCCAGCGCCAGCTCGCCTACTCTCTCTCTCTCTCTCTCTCTCTTTTCTCCCTCTCTTTCTCAAATAAAATGTGTAATTTTTCGTCAGGGAGTTATTTTAATTTTTTCTCCATGCTGAGTAAAACTATTGGGTGAGCGGTGAAGCATGGAGAAGCACTGGCGTCACCAGTGGGTAATCGTTAACTAAGAAAGAGGCCCTGGTGCCTGCCATCACCTGCCCCAGCCTCCCTGACTGCCCGAGGCCCTGGGCTTCCTCCCCAGGGGATGCACCGCCCCAGGGGGAGAACCAAGGGCTTGGCCAGGGGTGGGGGCAAAGTTGCTCAGACCCGCTGGGCAGGGCGCTCCAGCCCCACCTTGCACTGACTGCCTCCTCCCCGAAGGGTTTGGGCCTCTCTTTCACTGGAAGAGCTGGGCAGGCTTGGGTGGAAGCAGCCATGCCTGCCGTTCCCGGGTCCTGTCACAATCTGCAGGTCTTAGCCCAGGCCCCAGCCTCTGCTTCAGCAACATCAGCAGCCACAACCCTGCACTGGGAGTGGGTACAGCCCAGACCCTTGCTTTTCGCCCTGAGCAGAGGCTTCTACTTTGGAGTCTGAGGTGGTTCCCCCACCAGCCAGCCCCCTGGAACAATCTCCACGTACCAGGGTTTAGCATTACTCTGGGGGAGTTAGTGGAGGGGCTCCTGGGTCCCAAACAGAGACAATAAAGCCTGCCTCTTCACTTTGCCCTGAAACCCACCCCCTCTTGTCATCGAAAAGAAGGGGAAGAAGCATGACTTACCTTCCCGGGGGAGTGGGAAGAGGGGGATACGGCCCACTCTGAGCAATTAGAGGAGAGAGGAGGAAAAAAATAGGAGGAAAAAAATATCAACACGACCTCGAAGGAAGGCGACAGGTCCTTATGGAAATAAGTAAGTAAATAAATAAGGATCCACCCTCTCCCCCCTCCCCACCCTGCAAGGGGGGTGTGGGGGTGGGGCAAAGGAGCAGCACGAGGTCTTTTTAGTGTAACTGAGCATTAGAGAAATACCCACGGCTTCTATGTGAATTTAGGAGTTTGAAACTTTTGGAGGTTATTTATGTGAATGGCCCGAAGGCAAGCCCGTGAGTGGCTCTTGGGGGACCACGTGATGTCATTAAACCAAGTTTTATGGTGTAGGGAGAGCTGACAAACCCACAATATATTTACATCATATATAATCTTAACTGTCCAGCCACGCAGCTGCTGGTGAGGTTTAATGCTAGGACAGAGGGCCTGGCAGTTAGAGGGGATTACGGCGCTGGGGATGATGGTGAGAGAGGTTACTTCTTCGAAAATGAATCCCAGGCGAATGCTGTAAGTTAATTTTCTCTCTCTGACCCTTTCTCCCGTTTACCTAATCTTCCCACTTTGTGAGAGAAGACAGTCCCCACTCATTAAGGGAAGGGGAAGAAGGCCTCCCCAGGCACCAGGCACCATCAGGCTGGGGTAGGAGAAGAGAAGAAGCCGCTGGGAGGTAGGAGGATGGGGGAGCTTGTCGCCCCCAGACTATCCCTCTCCTCCCTGCCCTTGTTCCCTCCAGTTGTTAGTCAACTGGGGTAAAGAGAGGCCTGGGCTCTTTAGAGCTTTGCCAGGTCTCCCTGTCCCCCTCTCCCTCCTCAGTTGGGAAGAAAGACAGGGGCCACATATGGGTGTTTGGTGGGTGTTTGCAGGAGTGTGTGAACCGCAAGCGCAAAATGCCTCTGGTCCAGGGAAGGGCCAGTCTGGCCCTTGGCCAGTGACCCAGAGTCCAGGCAGGGTGGGCAGCTGGGGAAGGAGGGCTTTGGGACTTCTGAACCCACAGGCTTTGAGCTGAAATGGCAGAAGCATCTTAAAAGTGGCCAACTGAACCCCAGGGGTCCTAACGCATCCCCTTCTTCTTCACCAGTAGGCCTGGGTGGGCAGCTGTCTCAACCTCAGTGGTCTGGGGTTCTAGTCTGTCTGGGGCCAGTGTGGTTTCATGCCTCCTCCTCCCTCTAGCTGCTGGGGTCTTTCCTGGCTTCCCTAGCCCTTGCCTATGGTAAAACCAGGCCTGGGAGGCCTAGAGGTTACTCATATGAGTGGAGTGTAAGTGGGTGGGCGAATGGAGGCAACTGTCTTTATTAGGCTGGCCAGGCCTCAGCCCTCAGGAGGGAGTGGGTTCTGGCGGATGGAGCCACCAGGGCCCAGGCTGGGGCTCCCTTCAGGTTTCTGGGAAAGCAGCACAGGCGGCAAGCCTGGGAGGCACGTGTCCTCCACACCTGTGAGTGGTACCCCACCCTGCGGGTCACGCAGAGCTAAGCCAGGAAAGCGACAACATGTGAACTCAGGCTCCTTGCAGGAGCCCACCAGCATCTCGAGGGATTCCGAAGCAGGGGGAAGGTGGTCCCAATGAGGGCAGATTGGGCAAGGGGAGGGGAGGAGGGGGTGAGCCAGGTCTATGCCTTTCCAGAATAGTGGGGGATTGCCTTGGAGCACGAGGGGGACTAGGCACCCGCATTGTGAAGAGGTGCATTTGGGGAACTGGGAGAGAGGCTGCTGGCTCGCCCCTACCGCCCTGGAGACTCAGGAAGAAGCAGGAGCAGCACCAACAGGGAGCCCAGGCAGACTCTGGAAGGGGGACAGAGACCCAAATACACCGTCTGAGCTGGAGCCCCAGCCCCCACCCTGGTGGTCGGTGGTCTGTGTGAGGGATAGCGAGCGCCGGGACTGGGGAAATCCTAGCCTCCCCTGGGTTTCTCACAGAGCCTCCGCCTCCCCACCCTCCTCTCTAGTCCTTTATTTCCTGGGGGGCGGGGGGCATTCAGATCCCCGAGGATTCTCACATTTGGAGAGTGAGCTCTCAGGTTCTCCCTTCCTCATGTCTGGCCCTCCTCCACTCTCACCTCCCCACGTCTGTGCTTTTGAGGGTTTCTGAAAACTTTCCACCCAGGCAATGGGGAGATGGGAGTTTCCCTTGGTCTATAATTGTTCCCCTCGATCCGGCCTCCTCAAAGCTTTAGGGAGCGAGTCTCATGGTCTGTAACCAAGACTTCAGCCAGCGCCAAGACCCCACCCTGGCACGACTCTCAGCCTTCCGCGACTCCTGGCCGAACCTCTTCCCATTCCCTCCGCTCCGTGTGGGGCGGTGCACTCGGGTTACACAGCGTCTCTTAGGGGGACTATGACTTCCTTGTCCCGTTTTCTGTTTCTTAGGCTCAAAAATATCACTCCTTCTTATTATCCTAATAATAATAGATCGTCCTTCCTCTCAAATAATTTAACTCGGCCAGTTTTTTTCCTGTTTCGTAGTGGAATGAATGGAAGTAGGACGAATACAAATTGGGCATGAGGTTCTTGGTTTTCCCACCCCCACTTCGCGCTCTAATTGGGCTGGTGCACTGGAGAGGGGGGGATGGGCAGTCAATCAGGTGCCCCAGCCAACCCGGAAAGCTTTAAATTTTGTTCCTAGGTCTTTTAACCCTAGAAGGGTCAAGCAACCAATCAGGAATGCTCTAAGTAGGGTCACATGGCCCTCACCAACCAATCAGGCCTAAAGTACTTGGGCCTCTGTCTCTCCTCACCCTGTCCCTCCACCTCGGCTCCCTCCCTCCCCACCACTCCCTATAGCTCCTGGGTCCGCCCTATCAGATGCCCAGGGGAGTAATGCTGAGCCCATTCTAGCCTCTGCCCCGGAACCAGCTGTGGAGAACCCTTGGCTT